GTCAGGCCAAGGTAGGCTTGTCAAAGAGCCAGCCTGCAGTGACAGCACAGAGAAACATAAAGGCGAGGCAGAAAACCGACTGAGAGGTATTGGAGGCAGTTCGGCATAGTTGCAGGACAAATGGGAGATAGCAATCATACGAAAACCGAGCTGTTAAAAAAGAACGTCGGTGAGAGAATGTTAAAAATGGCTAGCTATTCAGGTATGCACGCGAAGCGCACAGGACAAGAGTAAAAATGGTAGGGCCATAAATAAGGAGTACTTAGAGGTGTACTCATTAGCGAGGAGCAAGTGCGTAGAGACCGAAATTTTACGGCCATGCAGAAAACCCATTTGAGAAAAACAGCAACTACCCTTAGGAGGGAGAGAGAGAGAGAAGACAAGACATAAGCAAGTTGATGGAATAAACTAGTTTAAGGACTTCAAACCAGATCGGGTAAGAGGGTGACGCCAATAAACTGGAGCAGGTACTAAAAACTACACAAAGGTTCTCTGTACAACACTTCTTATGATCGTCCACGGAGTTCAGCTTACTGCAAGGTTTCACGATGACTTCGGTTAGCATGGAGAAGCCTGTGTTCTAATAACACACAAATACCAAGTGTAAGCTAATGTAAACGACGTTTCGAGTATCGTAAGCCACGACGTGCACCGCAGGTCCCACATGGTGACTAGCGCGTGGACCACCTAATTGTGAGAAAGGCTTGCAAAGCATCTATTGCACGTTAGCTTTCCTTGTGCGCCATACGCCAACGGGGAGATAGCGGTAAGACGGTTAAAGGTGAGCGTGGGCGAGGTGGCTGACAAAACTAAACCGTTCATTTAGGTATACCACGCACGATTTGGCCCCCTAAGCCTCCTAGAGGGGTGACTGGGACCTCACCTCATCTCAGCGAGAATGCCGTAAAGGCTATAGTAAGAATTGGCCATTGCAGCGTGACTCTTGATCCGGAGAAGTGCCGAGGTATCCTGCAAGTTGACAACCTTCAGTGCCACGACTTCTAGTGCGTCAAGACAGATTCATGTGCGTTAGATCTGTTACAGTGGAGAATACGCAAGTGTGCAGTGCGGATGAATTCCCAGACTCGGCCTCGATCTTCCATCTCCCATGCACTGGCCGACTTGGGCCTGCCAACCAGAGTGAGGAGATGGAACGACAGTCGAGTGGGATGATGTCCACTATGTGCTCCACAGGACGCAGACTTATGCGTGGATTAGTTTTAGGCGATAGTAGACTTGTGTTGTATCTACCACAACATCTCTTTCCTAACTCATCTGTTGCCGGTGTCAAGTCTGACACAGATCACATAGAGTAGAAGTGTCATAAAGTCCACGA